ATGGGGAAAAAAACCTTACAAACAATAGAGTAAAACAATTAAAAATGCTCAATAAAGTGTTACAGTTAAAAGAAGAGTCCTGCACTGAAGGAGAACACCAAATACTCAGCTCTAAACTTCTTTAATCCCTGTGACCAATGAATATTTTCCAGAAACCTGGTGTATTCCCCTAGGCTAGTGGAATAGGATTCTCCAGTCAATTAGCAAAGCTCTGGGCAGTTGCCTCTGAGAATTATCCATTTTTTCACTGTACTTACATCCATCCTTTATTCCCCGCTCTTTAGGGAATAATTCTCGATGGGGGGAGGGTGGAATTACATGATTTCTTTTCATTTGTATTTTAATGTGTTTTATTATTCCAAAGTGACCTCTCTTTGGGGTTTGGCAGATCAGAGTACTTACAGTAATCTTCTGAGGACTTCCTCATTACCAACCACCATTTGCACTCAGAGCAATGGAAGGAATTAAAAAGCTCATCTAGCAAATGAGCAGGGATGCCTGCACATATTAGCATGGAGCCAGGTAGCTCTTCAGAAACCCTGCGCCCCAAGAACCAGCTTTCAGTTTGGAAAAGAAGCACATTTCTAGCCATAAAACATTGTGGATAAAGTGTGTGTGTGTGTGTGTGTGTGTGTGTGTGTGTGTAGACCAGCCGAAGCTTTTCAGAAGCCAGTGCAACTTCGAGTGATCGGACGTTTAGCTTTTGTCTGGTGCTTCTAGCTGGTCCCCTGTTTCTGCAGATGTCAGTCCCCATGCCTTCCACTCAGTTGGTGCAGAGGTGCAGGTTCAGGCAGAGTCACCAAGGCAGTAATGGAAGACAATCATGCATGCATGCAATCAATCAATCTGCTCCTAACTCCAAGTGCATGGGCCCAGATGCAATGGGTGCAATACTATATCCTCCAAGTGTCCCAATTTTCCAGGTACAGTCCCAGAATTACGAAAGCCACCCCAACTTCTGATTTCATCCCGGAATGTCCCTATTTCCCCCACCATGCCACCAGTACTGAGCTTGAGGATGAGCCGGCACTTGTCCTGAGCAGTGGCAGCAATGGCTGCTGCATGGCTTCTCTATGACAGCTGCTGCCAGCATCCTCCCTTGGGCAGCTAGTAGCGGCTGCAGGAGAGCAGGCGAGGAGGAGGAGGAGAGGCTGCCACCACCAAGGCCCAGCCCCACGGTGATGTGCCAGCTTGGAGGGACAGGTAGACGGCAGGGCCATGTTGGATGGGGGGAAAGGGGGAGCAGAGTACAAAAAGTATTTATTTTTATTTATTTTTTATGCTTTGTGCATTTGTGTCTAATATCGCCCCATTCTAAAATTTATTTATTGGTGTGTGTTTTTCTTTTTTGTAAATCTACTGAATGATAAAATAAAATAGGGATTAAGGGTTGTTTTTTCAGAACGGTGGGGGCCGTGCATGCTTGGTCCCGTTGGTAGCAGTCTCCCTTCTTCTGATAGGAAATGCTCTGAGGGGGACACACTGAAAAACTGGGGTTCAAGGAGGGTCAGTTGGAGGTGGGGAATGAGAAATGCCATCTGAGGAATGTCAGAGGATATGCAAGTTGGCGTAGGAGGCAACTAAACAATCCTTGTGGCTTCTTGTTTGCATTTATTACTGGGAAGGGGGATTGTAGCCCTCCAGATGTTATTGGACTCCACCCCCCCACCCCCAAGTCAGCATGGCCAGCTTCCCGCATCCCTGCATTAGTGGGAGGTGCTGGGTGGCCAGACCCACACACATCAAGAATCCCTGTATAAAAGGGGGCAGGGGCAGAAAGTGGGGAAGGGAAAAGCATGGGGAGAGTGGTAGTGCTGGAGTGTGGAGCAGAAAGCACCCACAGCATGTGAGGAGACCTGAGCCATGGCAGCAACACCTTCCTCTGAGGCCCTTGCCATGCTCACCCAAGAGAATCCCCACTCACAAGCTCATCCTCCCTCCTCTCATGGAACAGAAGCCGAGATTATGGCAAGCACACCACAATGACGTACTGACAGGGCCGGCCCACCCATGAGGAAAAGTGAGGCAACTGCCTCAGGTGGCAGGATCTGTGGGGGCAGCAGACCCAGCTTCCAAGGAAGGCATGGCTGCCATACACTCTATAAAGGTTAGAGCTGCTGCCTGCTCGGCAGTGCCCCCCCCCATGCTGCCTCTTCAGCGGCTTCTTGGTGAATAGGAGGTGCTGCTGGTCTCTGCCTACCCTTAGGGAGGAAATGGCAGGGGTTGCCCTACGGGGTGTCTGCACCCGCCCACCATGAGCCAATGGCCATTGATTCCCACTTCAACCATTGACCCCTTCTTCCATGATGCCATTTTGTGGCCTGCTTCAGGTGCCATGAAGTCTTGGGCCGGCCCTGAGTACTGACAATGTGTAAGATTATGGCAAGTACCTTACCTGCCTCATGGGGCCGTTGTGAGGATAACATGAGGAAGCGGGAGAACACCTTGAGGGACATTGGAGTGGAAATATAATAAACAAATAATGAAAATAAATTAAAATGCCCCATTCCCCTACAAGTGCCTCTGTGGGCCCAGGAGTAGAGCAGTGACGTACCTCTAGGTGTATGCTTAGGGGGCTCCCCTTTCCTGTGGCCGCATTTCACACTGAGTAAATACCAGTATAACTGAGAAGAGAGCTTTCTTTTGCGGGAGGCCATGCTGACGTAGGGGTGGCAACTTGAATAAAATATTCGGGGGTGGATGGACATAATCCCCACTCTGCATAATCGATCTTATACACAGCACACACACATTCCATTTGAATGGCAATGCCCATCAACTTCTGCTGGGTGGCCCCCTCAAATATTTTGGAGGGGGCCTAGGAGATGGTTCTTATGCCTACAATTAATGTAGGCTGCCTACAATCAATGGGAGAGGTGGTGAATGAAGATCGGGGGGGGGGGGAGGTGAGAAGTTTGTGAGCTTTAGTGCCAAAAATTTGGTTAGGAAATATGAGCTTCAGAAATAAAGTGCATGCATTTAGCTTAGTAATAAGAAACCTCTGTATTTAATAATACAGGGTTGTTGTTGTTGTTTTTAGATTTTACGGTTGCTTGTAATGGCAACTGGTGATTAATAAATATTTATTATATATTGGGTTACATTCTTGACATCCCTAAGACCTTGGGGTAGAGGTTGATGGCAGGTTTATAAGCTCATCAAGGAGGCCAACAAGGTTTGGGAAATCCTGGTCTCCCCTGACAGACAGCAGATCCCAGAGAGAGAAATATCTCCCTCATCATCTGCTACCTGATTCTTTTGGAGCCTGCTAGATGCAGAACATGTGCTCTGCCACTGAGATATGGCCCTTCCCCATAAACTGGTGGGTTCCTGCCAGCACTGTGCTATTGTGGCAGAAACCAATGGTGTCACTACAGTGGTAGATGTTGCAGGGCCACAACGGGGAACCCTGCAGATCAGGCACCAATTCCCTGCTTCGTGTACCAGGGCTTCCAAAAGGTGTTAAGGCAGAACTACTACAGTCTCTCTGTCCTGCAGGTCTCAAAACCTTTTTCTAGCAACAGGGATTCAGTTTCCCCAAAAGAGTTGCAAGCCTTGTGACCTTGCCCCTCTCCAAAAATAGTAAATGCCTGCAAGTTGCCTAGTATTCATTCCAGTTGCAAGCATTACTATTCTTACTTAAAATGCTGTTTTCTACAAAAACAAAAGCAAAAAGAATAAATGAAAACATGCAGTGACTGCAATTTTTCCCTGGCAGTTTATTATGGTATGAAGGAAAAAAGAACATTTTGGTGTGCTTGAAGTGGACATTGTCATACAAATGGATGCTGATGTGGCCATTAAAATCGGATTACACAAAGTATGAACATTGTTGAAGAAAGCTTACAGTAGAACGGAATTCTTTTATAAACAGACTCTTAAATATACATTTAACAGGAAAAACATCAAAAGTTAAGCTATTAGCGTTTATAGACATTTTATCTGGGAGGTGAGAAATGGAAAGGGGGGGGCAGGAAGGACAGTCTCATCAAAAACAGAGAAGAAGATACGAAAGTTGTTTAGAACTAGGAACAGATAGCCTGCAAACTGCAAACTACACACTGCAAACTGCAACTATACACTGCTGAGGTGCGCAAGCCAGAAAGTGTTTCTAATTGCTGAAAGGCGACATTCATGCTTTCAGGCTTGCATGCGCTTCTGACACAGATAATTTTCTACAAAAGCACTTGGTATTTGTCACAGTCTTTCAGATCAACCACCTTCTTACCCTGTGGACCAGTTCACACATGCGCTTACATCACTGCTTGCCTACTCATCACCTGGTGACTTGTAGCTGATGCAAGCGGCAAATATTATATCTTGAGGTGAGTCTAATGCTCAGCCTGTGGCTCGTCTGTATGGGCAAGTCATGGTTTGGTGCTGTACTCATTCAGCACAAACACTGATTGTGTGGAACAGACCTGGGTCAACCACAGCCATAGAAAGAGCAAAAGAACAGTGTACAGGTTGTTGGCACCTTCAGTCCAGCAAAAGAGCTTGCCACAATGAGCTCCTTTATTAAGCAATTTACTTGGATGAATTCCTGGGCCTGGTAGGGATTGAATTATTGTTGGCCAGATCAAAACTGATTTTTAATTCAGTCGATCTGTCATCTTAAATTTACATGGGCTTGGGAAGGCAAGGAATGTGGCAGTCCTTGCTTCCCGTTGACTCTGTTTATCTGGACATAAAATATTTGATGCTGTAATACACAGTATTACTGAAACTAACATTTGCATATTTAGAACAAGATGTAACTCAACTCCTCTAATATACCAAAAAATAAGAAAGGAGAGAGAGAGAGAGAGAGAGAGAAATAGAAATGAAAGAGAAAGAGAAAGAGAAAGAGAGAAAGAGAAAGAGAGAAAGAGAGAGAAAGAGAGAAAGAGAGAAAGAGAAAGAGAAAGAGAGAGAAAGAGAAAAAGAAAAAAAGAGAAAGAGAAAGAGAAAGAGAAAAGGGAGAGAATAGTCTATAGGATATTTACAAAGAGTCCAGCAAAGAAGTATAAATACTTCCATATTTAATGTTTAGGAAAACATAATTTACAAAAAATATTCAACTATATATACAGCGCTATTTGAAAAATCTGGGAGAAAGGTGAAGAGTTAGTTGGGCAAGTTAATTAAGAAGGGGAGGATTTCTATTATTATTATTATTATTATTGTAAATGCTTTTTTTTCTTTTTTTAGTCCTGCACAGATTATTTACATACCCATCAGCATCATCCCTCAAGAATCACACGTGTCCAGAGCTTTGTTGCCCCAAAATGTCATCTATCATTGTCAAATTATTCAGCCACTCTTCGTCGCTGCTTCCGCTGCCGCCGCTATTCTTCATGAGATTATCGATAAAGTCAACATCGCTGCAGTTATCAGGCAGAAGGGCATCGTTTTGCTGGACCATGAAGTCGTACTGGGATTGCATCTCAGAGGCAGGGCTCATTCTGCTGAATGATCCTGACGACTGGCCGGCAGAGCCAGGATAAGTTGGTAGGCCGACTGGGTGTGCAGCACTGAGCTGGCTAAAACTGGTTATGCCTTGCGGCATTGGCTTCATGACATTCATCGCTGCTTGCAAAGGTACTCTTGTCAGATTGGGTCTCAGGTTCTGGTTATTCAGAGGGCCCAAGTTCTGGCCTGATTGTCCCATACTGGCTTTTTGCATCTGTCTGGCATGGACCCCAGGAGCAATCTGATTGGGTGGTGCCACAGACTGGGTAAACGACGGACCAGAGAGATTTGGCCTTGCATTCTGCTTCGAGAAGATAGCATTGCCAGAGAACTGCTGCATACTGGCATCCATCTGGCTTTGATTTGGCATCCTTTGTGACCACATCTGAGGAGAGGTGGAGTAGACGTTAGCCATTCTTGGCATCGTCTGCTGCCTCAAGTGCTGCTGCTGCTGCTGCTGCTGTGAAGTGTGGCTCGATAGGGAACCAGAGGCAAAGCTGGCCAGCACCATGCCAGGCCGAAGGGTAGGGTGGCCGTGAACCGTTTGCATTCCGGAACTCATACCCAGGGGATTTTGGCTTTGCCGCATTGGGAGGCTGAAATCGGCATTAGGTGGGTACATTCCTGGCTGCTTGCTGGGGTTGTGTGCAATCATCACCACTGCCCCAGTATTCTGGTTCACAGGGGCCATCTGAGTGATCCCAGAGCCCAAGGTACTCTGCAACATTCCCTGGGGAGATGACATTAGGCGGTGATTTGGAGAAGGAGTCGACATGGACTGGGTGCAATCTGCTGACATGGGCTGGGAAACGGCTGCATAGAGGAACAAGCAAGGCATTAAGTTAGGAAGAGTCTGGGCATGAGACTGGATTCTGCACGCATCATTTCAATTCTTTAAGCACAAAGTATCATACAAATATAACACACACATCCCAGTGCCACTTTTAACTGTTGCAAAGCTAGTTTCTCTCTCTGCTAAATAGAGTAAAGCTGTTCTGGTTTAATGGTTCAAACACAATTTGCCCTAGAGACAAATTAAATGATCAGCAAGATTACAGAGTGCAACTCTTGCTAGGCTTCAGCACTTCGGTTTGCAGGTAAACCTAAAATCTTATGTTTGAATGCTCCTCCATGTAAAAAAATTCCCTGCACATGGAGAACCAGTCTGTCAGGGATTACCTGGGGCCAAACTAGAACCCTCAGCTCCCAACAAGGTGGAAGCGTAACCTGAACATTCTTCAAACATGTTTTAAAAATCAAACTAATCTGCTGCAGCTCAATTTCCTCTGCTGCGTCTCAATGATTTATTTGTTTATTTATAGAGTTGCTATATTCTCATTTCACCAGTGGCGTGTAAAATCTATCCATCCAATTTAGAACCAGTAATTTAAAATTGTGAAGCCTGCATTTCAAATATCTTAACTTTTCCGAATTCCACAGTTCAGCTCTAGTTTGCAAATGCAGGAATTGTGTTATATGAAATTAGCTTTGCTCTGCTGAAGTCCACGTTGCAGAACCTACAGTTCGGAGGCTATCACAACTAGAACTTGACAGGACCTTAGGCATGTAACCCCTTGTATTCCAAAGGACCCTTCTTTTTATTAAGGGTCAGGCTGGCTTATGCAAATCAGAAATGGAAGGCATGCAAGATCTGCAAGCAGGATATTTATGTATTATTAAGAGTTTCCTTGAAATCCCTGAATTAAGACAGCACACACAAAAAGGGTCAAGCTTTCGAGAATATGCTCTCCAACTCCTTACCAGTAAACTGATTCATCAGCTGCCCCACAAAATGACCCCTCTGCTCAGATGATACTCCCATCATGCTGTGTCTCTGCTTTTCCTAGGCGAAAGGGAAAAAAATGTTCACATCAAATACAAGTCCCACTCTTTTGTTGTTGTTGTTGTTGTTGCAATTATATTTTATTAAGTTTCAACATTTTAAACATTTACAATCAATACGTAATTACAATTTTTCCTCTTATTTTTGTCAACTTCCCAACCTCGTTTTTCACTGAGTGGTTGTTTCTCCCCTTCTGTTGCACCCTGTCACTCTCTTAAACAATCTCATTGGGTTGAGATCCAGGTGAAATGGGAAAGGGCTGCAATAGAAGGGTATTTTTCCCCCACCCCACCCCCCACCTCTGTCCTCTCACTCTTTCTCTCTCTGTTTCTCTCTTTCAGAAAAGGATGAATCGCGTATCAGTTTTCTATTCCTTAAGGGCTGTTAGAAAGCACCATGATGCTTTGTATTTCAAATTGAATTATTGGGAACCCCAATCTTGGTGGGAGGCAACACATTATACAGAGATCATGTTCACATACCACTGTTGACTGCTACAAAAATGAACCTTTGCAATTGGAATAGTGTGACTAAGTAACAACAATTCCCAATAATACATGAACTCAAGGAATTGTGGTTTGTTTGAACTGTGGTTCATCAGTAAAAATTTCTTGTGGATTTACATTTGAACCAGGCATAGAAGTTTGGTTTTTATTAGAGTTAATAGGGATTAGGATATTAGTTAAAGTATTTATAGGCTGTCTTTTGGGGCAACACCATCAAAAGGCAATGTGTAACCCCGAGACAAGATACATTTTAACACATGTATTTAAACAGAAATAAAAGCAAATGAACTTTTAAAGCTTTCTAACACATGTCCTAATCTAGCCAGGCAAACACATTTTGGCAGAGTGATTTTGGAACAGGTAACAGAAAGACCGGCTATTGATTTTCTCCCCATATCCAGCAAGGTGGTGTGGGAAGGGAAAAGAGAGAGAAACCCCATCCAGAAAGTTTGCAGTTAAGAAGACAACCCAATACAGTTACTCTATGGACATGCAACTGATGTTTACCAGCTGTAGACGACTGGCTGAAAGAGCAGAGACAGGTCTATATACTTTAATACGATGTCTTTGATAGCCCTGGAACAAAAGGTTTGCATTTCAGTTCCTGCATTCAAGTTGAAGAGCTGGTTTAGAGCTCCAGCCCACCCATTAGGCAAGCTGATCACTTTGTTTTAGGTGGCAGTTTGGGATGGGTGCTAGACCAGCGACCCCCCCTCATGTCCTCTGCTGCTGACTGCCCCTCAGTGCTATGGTCACCTTTAGCACAAGTTTGTGCTTTATAAACAGACACACAAGAATTGCACGTAGTTTTGCCCTGAGTATTATTAGACAGATCCCAAATAAGTTGTTTCATTGCCTTCCCTCTGAGACCACTCAGTACTGAGACCACCAGCTGTCTTCAATAACCATCTAGGAACAATCTATTTTGGTTATAATATACAGATGGAAGAGTGGGAACATATGAGGACAAAAGGGTTAAAATACACACTGTGTTATGATTTAAAAGAGAATTTTCATGTAAAGATGTACCATTGGTATCTAAGTCCTGAGAAGTTATTTAGAATGTATAAAAATGTTCCAACTGTTTGCTGGAAGTGTCAAAAACACGAGGGGACATTTTATTGTGCAAAAAAGCTAAAAACTATTGGATACAAATAGACACATTGATACAGAAGATTCTGAAGCTTAATGTTCAACTCAAACCAGAACTCTTCCTGCTGGGACGAATGGATATACAGTCATACCTCATGTAACGTCCGCTTCATGTTACCTTCTTTCAGGTTACGTCCCACGGCGACCGGGAAGTACTGGAAAGGGTTACTTCTAGGTTTCGCCGCTCGCGCATGCGCAGAAGTGCAAAATGACATCACACGCATGCGCAGAAGCGGCGAATCGCAACCCGCGCGTGTGCAGAAGCGCCGCTGCGGGTTGCACTCTTTTCATGTTGCGAACAGGCCTCCGGAACGGATCCCGTTTGCAACCAGAGGTACCACTATACAACAAGAAAAAGAGTATGCAAGATTACTGCAATACATGAACACAGCGGCAAGATTCTTATACGCACAAAGCTGGAATGACCTACTATGGAAGAATGGTTATTGAAACTAATGGATTTTGCTGAGATAGCAAAGTTGACAAGTTTAATTAGAGAAAAATCATTGTTGACATTTATTAACGATTGGAAACCCCTTATATGGGCTTTTTGCGCAAAAAGGAGAATGAACTTGTGATAAGTGGGTTTGAAGACTGACATAAGGTTGGTTTATGGAAATCAGAAGAGTTAGATACTGTTATGGAGCAAGTTAAGTCTATAAAGCTGATAGATGGAGAGTCAGAAATCTTTTTCTTTTCTTTTCTTTTCTTCTAAGTTTTTATGTTTAAAACATTTGGTATTTGATTCTAACTTTTGCATATCGCTTTTTCTTTGTTTCTCTTTTCAAGCTTTAATAAAAATAGCTTTTGTAACAAGTGAAAAGAAAAAGGAAGAAGTCTGTCTCTTCTTTTCTAACCTCACTAGATATATTAATATGACAGCCCCCTCCACAAACCCACAAAGATTACATACAGCCTCTTATGAACTTAACTTGTGCCTCCCCGTGTCCTGATTGAACACATCCATGCATTTGATCACTGCTGCCTCCTTCTCCTCCTCTGTTCTGTCCAAGAGGGAGAGGCTTTTCAAACCATCAAGCTTTCCTACCTGCCTTGCTCCAAATCATCTGGGACCCCTAGAAGACTGCTTAAGTATTTACTCTTGCTGTCTTTTAATTTTCTTTGTTTTTTGGTGGGGAGTACTCTTTGCCCTTTCGGCAGGAACAGAAATGTATCTTGATTTTTTTTTAATACCTTTGGGAATTTAAGATTTTGTTTTGATTTTTTTTTTATCATTTGCATTATTTGTATTTGCATCGGTGCAGTTGTTCTTTGTGAGCCATCTTGGGGGTGATAAGTTATTGGGAGCCAGTTAGACTTCGAACACCAGTACTGCTTGCCGAAGAAAGGAAGCCCTGGTGATCAAGCGTGAGGAAAGATGGCTCCCATTGCAAGACTTCAATCAAGTACCACAACTGCTGAACTAACCCTAGGGATAACAGCATTGCAATTTAAGTTCCATCACTCTGCCGTGGTAATCTAAAGAAGTCTCGTCACTTGAAATAACAGCCCTATCAGCAGTCATCTGGCTTCCCAGAGAAACTAAGAGACCAACCTGTAGCTGCTGCTGCTGCTGCCGTCTCATTATCTGCTGCTTCAGTAGATGGTTCCTTATGTTACAGCCATTCACCAAGGCTGAGGCTGGGACTGCAGGTGGGATCTCTAGTGGCTCCTGAAGTCTAGCAATGATTTGAGATCTCTTTAAAAAAGGGGGAAATATTGTTACTCTTTTAACCAGGACAAACACTAAAAGGGCATTTAGACCATCTGTCCAAACTTTCCAGATAAGACCGATGGAGTGGCTCTCAGTTCCAAAATCACACCAAAGCCCAGTTGTGCACCAACCATAGTTTAAAACCAAAACCATGGTCTGAGCTTCCAATCAACCATGGTTTAGAGATTACCGTATTTTTCGCTCCATAAGGCACACCTACTTTGGGGGGGGGGGGATTCAAGAAAAAAAATATTATTTAAAGGGAGCGCTGAGCAGAGCCTGTATGCATCCCAGGCTCTGCTCAGCGCTCTCTTTCATGAGCCGCGTGGAGTGTGTGTGCGGCGCTTGCAGTCACTGACGGGCTGCCCTTCTCCCTCCTCGGGGAAAAGCCCTCAAGAGCCACACACACACCGCACAGCTCTTTAAAGGGAGCGCGGCTCTTGGGGGCTTTTGCGGGAGGTGGGGGAAGTGAGAGAGCCTCGCTCTGTCCCTTCCCCCACCTCCCGCAAAAGCCATGGATAGCCGTGTGAAGCCTCCCCAGGAAAGCGGGATGAAGGCTCCCCGCTGCCCTGCGGAGGCTTCACGGGCTACCCCAGAGCTGCTCAGGAGCTTTGTCGGGGCTGGCGGGGGAAGCCCGGGTTCCGCCCCCCCCCAGCCCCAGGGATCACACATTCACTCCATAAGATGCACAGACATTTCCCCTTAGATTTTAAGAGGAAAAAAGTGTGTCTTATGGAGCGAAAAATACGGTATCTGCCTTGCTTTCCTTTGGACAGTTCTCCCATCTCTAGGTACAGGAACCTCTAGAGGAAGAACCACCCATCATAAATATGATTTGTCTATTCAGAAGTCACCCCAACCCATATTTAAGCTTCCGAAATAATGAGGTATCTGAATTGTGCAACCAAGTTCCAGTTCCTGTCTATGGGGCAAGTAAGAACTGTTGTGCATCTAAGCAAAATAAGGAGAATGTGTCATACTGGCTTGTCAACAATCACTCGCCCAATCCTCTGCATCCAGGCACATGAGCTTTTGCAAACTGAGGAAAAGCCACTTGAAGTCTGGCTTCACCCCCTTTTGGGCAATTACTGTAAACCAGGAATCTTTCTAATGTTTGTAAGGCCAAATAGCATCCAAATCACCAGAAGCATTCTCTCTCTCTGTCTCTCTATAAGACAGAGAAAAAGAAACAACTGTCCCCAATATATTCATGTTTGTCCATACCAGGTGATTGTGAATTTCTGTAAAGAAGGACAAGAGGGCCATTGTGGAAAGCTGAATGGGTTGGGGGGCCAATTAAATTTTATTTTATTTACATCCCACCAAGGCTGCATGCACATAATAAGAACAGTTAAAATGCACCCTAAAACTACACACCACCACAGAAAAATACAAGAACTAGCCTAAACCTAGTCCATAAAAAAGGCCCGGAGGGATAAAAGAGTTTTCACTCCACATCTGAAGACCAGTGGAAGTGAGGATCTCCGAGGAATGCGAATTCCACAATTGTGGAGCCACAGTTAAGAAGGCCCTGTCCCTAGGATATACCAATTTGACTTTCATCAACGAGAGGGCCTCCGAGATAAATGCGAATGCCAAGGAAATTGCTATGAGAACAGGAACCGTATTTTTCGCTCTATACCAGACTACAAGACGCACCTAGTTTTTGGAGGAGGAAAACAAGAAAAAAAATATTCTGAATCTCAGAAGCCAGAACAGCAAGAGGGATCGCTGAGCAGTGAAAGCAGCAATCCCTCTTGCTGTTCTGGCTTCTGTGATAGCTGCGCAGCCTGCATTCGCTCCATAAGATGCACACACATTTCCCCTTACTTTTTAGGAGGGAAAATGTGAGTCTTATAGAGCAAAAAATACGGTAAGTCGTCAAGCAGTCTGGACCAAACCAGTTCACCACAAAATTAGTGTAACAGATGCTGGCCACATTAATCCTATCAGTTTCCTGGCAGATAAATTTTCATCCAATTAAATTTTCATTATTATTATTATTATTATTAGCATCACCATCATCTAAATTTGTATACTATCCTTCATCTGAAGATCACAGGGTGGTTTACAACATAAAAATAAAAAGGGAGAACACAAAATACATTTTTAAAAACCCCAATAATGGCCCTCCCACAAACACATTTAAAATGCCACATAGTGTAAATCAGCCCAAGTCCTGCTCTTAATGAGCTGTGAAATAAAGCCTTCGAAAAGGGAGGGCTAGATGAGGTAATAACCACAGGTATCCAAAGCATATAAGTGACTGTCAACCTTAAGGTAGGATATAATGTGTCTGATCTGTGTTGAATTACTGGAACCAGGAATTGGTATTTTGGCCCAGATAGGAACAGCCTGTAGGAGGAGATATTTTTAAAGCATGCATTTATTTGATCCCATGTTTATACTCAATTATCTACTGGCCATTTTCAGGCTGTACTGTTGTAATGCTATCTTTGTGGGAATGCCTTTAAAGATGCTTTTATACCTTCAACCATGGTATCTTTCTGGAGCAGCTATCTGAGTTAAGGGTGGGTAGCACTGGTTTCTGGTGGTTCCAGTCCTACTGGGACAGTCATTTCCAGAGGGTTATGCTTGGGGAGTGCTCTTCAGCACCAATTAAAGTGCTGGTTTTAACATACAGGGACGTAAACAGCTCAGGACCGCAATACCTCAAGGACCGCCTCTCCCCATATGAACCAGCCCAGACCCTGTAATCTTCCTCTGAGGCCCTTCTTTGTGTACCTCTTCCACAAGAGGTCCAGCGAGGAGAACAGGATAACTTTTCTTTGGTGGCTCCCCATTTGTGGAATGCCTTCGTGGCACATTTTTAGGTGCCAAGCAAAAAGAAGACTTTATTTCACAGCTCATTAAGAGCTTAATAAAATGCCATCTCCTGTAATCTGAAACCCAAAGATGAGCTATATATCTGACTACATTCTGTTAGTCTGGAGTGCAGAACGTTTTGAGGTACTCAAAGCAACGTCAGGCAGGATGCCAGAGTTAGCTAACTTTACAGCTTGTTTGAATGGCAGGGAAACACAGGGAAAAGTAATTTACAATTGCAAGAACCTTGCATCACTTTGGCCAGGGCTCTTCAGTGTTCTCCTACAAATCCCTTATCTCAGAGGAAGGAGGAAGCACCTCTGGATCATACATGGTGTTAGAAACTGAGATATGAAAGCTAGGAGCTAAATGGCACCTTACACCTAGGTTACGGGAACAACAACGGAATGTCTAGGTGCACTGTTTTAGAACAAGAATACAAAGCTGAAAATGAATGATCTGCAGCTGAAATATTATGTTCATTTTTCACATGGTCTAGTCCTTCCCCTGCCCACCCCCCTAATATTCTTAAGAGGGTCTCTTCGCCAGTCTTCAGAGTGTAGCTGGAAGAGGGGAGGCAGAAAAAGGTCCTCCTTTCCTTCCACTCTGCAGTTTTACTCTCAAATCTTAGGGGCAGTACTGTGCCCAGAGCTCAGAAACTGTTTGGGCTAATGAAATTTCCTGTCACAAAATGCACCTAGAATAATGGGAGTTTCGAACACTGACGATACAGTCCATAGTGGGTGAGCTGAAGAGTTTGTGCTGCTCTGTTTCTTAAGCCTTTCACAGAAAGCAACAGTACTGGCCTGATTTGCACCACCTGGGGCCCTCATTAAGAATTAACACAAGGCTGGATCACTTAGATGGCAGTCTTGGGCATCTGCAGAACAGCCCAAGAACAGCAAAGGGGCCCACTGTCCCAACAGCACCATCATTCTGGATTGCAGGGGCATCCATAAAAGTTGGGAGGCAAAATGAGAGAGTTCTCGGTTTGCACACCCTGATTCCTCCAGATTAAAAGGGGAGCCACCGAAGTTGTTCGACTCAAGGTCTTACATATCCTGGAACTAGCTGTAGTTGGGTGGGGGGAAGGCAGTGGTGAGGGGTGAGAGTGGTTATCTAGAAACCATTCACCATCAGTGATGAGGAGGGCAGAGACCTAAACCAAAATCTCATAGGGGATACTTGGAAAAGAAGAATCAAAACACACAGAATAGCCCAACGAGGTAGGAAATTATACTGTCTGCTCCTTCGTCGCCATCTGCCTCGTAATCTGCTTCAGCCTCCAGTACTATTTTACATTATTGATGACATTTTGTTATTACTGGCAAAGAAGGATATGTACATTATACAGCTAGCATGCTCAAAACTGGGCCACATTTCCTTTGTTTGCCAAATGGAAACCTGCATCCTTTGTTTGAGTGTCCGTGTTATCAGAAGATAAGGAACGAAGAAAAGCGTAGCTGCCTTTTGACATCTGACAGTTAGGATCATGCTAGAATGAAGAAAACAGGAAGTCAGCAAGGAAACCTTGGATTGTGTTGTTGGAGAGCAAAGCAGAAAAGGGATTTTGGTGGGTGGGTGGGTGGGCGGGGCTGGCTGCATCATGCAAAGAAAGAAACACCACTTTGGTAATAACATCCATGAAGAAAAGAAAAAGCCCCCAAAGGAGGTGTCTGAAATCACTTACTTTTATGGTGCATGTTTGCCGTATTTGTTGCCTATACAAAGTCCACAATTGCTAGAATACAATCACTCGCGATACAGTTTCCTAGAAGTTGCAAACCTCTACCTCACACTGCACTTTGATAGCATCAGTGAACATGATACTGGTGAACATTTTGCTCCCTTAACTATCTGGTTTCCTGTTTCACACCCTCTCCCCTCTGACCTGCACAGGAAAAAATCAGGGCCAGCTCCAGAGAGCAAAAAGGCTAGAAATTTGCAGCGAAAGGGCACCACCGTCCCACAAGTGCTACCATTCTCACTTATGGAGCACTCAGGAAGTTGGAGGCAGTTTTGGAGAGTTCTTGGTCAGCGCATCTGACCTCTTACAGGTTACTAGGGCGCACTGAAGGTGCCTGGTCTGAATCCTAAAGCCAGCACCGATGCAATAAACAAGGATTACTCTCTAGGAGAAAAACGTACAGAGGCTGCAA